CCCCCCCCCCCCCCCCCCCCCAGTCTGCTGACCGTAGCAGCGTCCCCAACTCGGGAGCCCTGCACAGTGATGGCAATCCCCTCACACAGGGGTGTCCAGCCAAACTCCCCTCCTCCCAAACCCGCCGTGGTGGCGAGAGACAGCAGGCAGCAGAGGGGACTACAGAAGCAAACTTCAGGAAGAAACTCCTTCTGGACTGAAGAGGGACACGTCGTTGTTCTGCCCTGCCGGCATCGCAGCCCCAGCACAAGTGCTGCTGCACAAGTGATGCCCTCAGGATCTGAGAAAAAGAAAACAGGAGCAATCACACAGCCTTTGGCCACACAGCACGTGCTTCAACCTACCTAGGCAAACTGGGGGGCTTGTCCACTGCCCACCAGTACAGGTGATATACTGAGATCCTTCCAGGACGTAGAGACTGGGGCATTTGTATTCCAGAGTTGTACCTTGTGGATATTCTTGCATGGGGAAGGAAAGAAGGTCTCCATTTTCAATAACTGGAGGCGGGCCACATTTCCCACCTTTCCCTGGAAGAAAATTCCCAGTCAGAGAGAAAGCCGTGAGCGTTTAATTGCAACAGAGGCCTGGCCACAAATACGACCGGACAGTACATTGGCACTATGAGAGACCTGGAGGAGAGCAGAGGGAAAACCAAATACCTGGCAGGTGAAAAAGAGCAAGAGTTTCTCATTTCTCCAGTGCTGGGACTCACAGCTACCAGTTCACCCCGTTTGTCCACGGCTGAAGTGCTTGCAGCTGCCTGCAGGACTTCCTCTCGTCCTGCATAACGGTGTAGCGTTTGGCACAGCTCTTTCTGCAGAAGAGCCTGACACCCACCTCCTCCCTGTACTGCTTGAGCAGTGAGAAAAGTGGATCCGACTGCAAACAATAACGACTGCCACTGAACTACACCGCTGCAATCACTAATGGCATAGCCCTTGGGCTCTGTGGGCCACTTACGGCCACTGGGGAGTTCACACGTGCCAATCCTGAAGCACCGCTGCCTCACGGATTTTTATACCTATTCAAGCACCACACTGCTGCCAAGTCTGGCCTTCCAACGGACCTTGCATTGGGAAATCGTCAGAGAAGACCCAGATCCCTTGGCACCAGCAGTGACACTCTTTGCACTTGGCATTGTGTTCCGGAGGCACAATATGGAGCCTGGTCTGAATTCGTCTGCTGTTTCTGCACCCCTTTCAGCTCCCAGCTGGGTGGTGTTTGAGTCAAATGCTGCTGCACTGGTTCACGTGCTGAAACTGTCTCTATGTCTAATGAAAACAAATGAGATCATTCAGCGCGCTCATGAAATCCGAGGAGGCACCAACACCGTACCTAGGTATTGGCTCACACATCAGATTCTACCCTCAGTGGATTTAACGGTTGATTTGACTCCATGGCATCCAATATAGCAATGCATCATCTGCGTTATCTGAATGTCAGCTACCCGGGAAGCTGTGGGCTCTGTTCTCCAAAACAGGCGGCAAAAGTTCTCACTCTCTTCTCATCAGGCAGGCACAGAAAGTATATTCTAAGAAGTCCAAGGGTTGCGTCTCAAAATTAGACCTGGCCAGCAACTGCTCTCAGCCTCAGGGTGGTTTTCCAGATGGGGCCCTCTTGAGTGAAGCCACCTGGGTCACTCAGCTGGTAAACTCATCTGAATAGATACCTGGGAAAACGCCTTTTTCCTGAGTGCGTGCCAGATACGTTGCGTTTGTGCACAGTAATGAGACTGAAATGTGGAGAAGTAAATGCCACTGAGTCAGCTTCATGACAGTCTCACTGACAGGCGACTGTATGAAGACGGAGAGAAATTACCTTTGCACTTGGGCAGCTCTGTCCAGGTCCCATTCTGACACGCGACGGTGGAAGTGCCAGTCATCTGAAAACCTTGCCAGCACTGGTAGTGAGCACTCTCCCCAGGCAAATACCTTGACTTTTTAACACCTTGAACTTTACCACCCGCAATTTCTGGAGGAGGTTCACATGTCACATCTGAAAAGAGACACTGCTGCAGTCATGTTTGCAGCCGCTGAGGTGTTCCCCTACACAACCAACAGTTAAAGAAATCAATCTTGTTACAATTTCTGTCCAGATTTTCTGCCTCAGGTGGGTAACAGCTCCAAGAGTTCGCCATGGAGAAAGCAACGAGGTGTGACAGTGGCAGCA